CAAACTTGAGAATTTTTTTTACAGGAAGGGGATATCCATTTTCCAGCCAGCTTTGTGAGAAAACTGTATCTGGTTCTGCTTTCCATGCGTCAAAAAGGAGTTGAAAAATTGAAAGGGTTTAGAAAAGAGCTAGAAGAATAATTTGAGGATCGGAAAACATGCCTTATAGTAAAAGACATAAGAAGCTCAGTTCTGTTGAGTTTTTATCCAAGAGAAGGTTAAGAGGTAACTTAATCATTCTCAACTAGTACCTACGTGGAAGAGAGATTCTGATAGTAGGGTCTCTAATCTAGCAGAAAAGGCATATTGAGAAGTTTGGAAGGTTAAGCTAGACAAATCCAGACTAGAAATAAGCTACACATTTTAGCACTGAGGATAACTGATAATGGGAGTATCTTACCTAGAGATGTGATAGATTTTCCATCACTTGCAGTCTAAAAGATATGCTGTTCAGCAGTTCTCAAACTGTGGGTGGGACCCCAGAGTGAGTCGCAAACTCGTTTTAATGGGGTCACCAAGATTAGCATTAGACTTACCGAAGCTTGGAACCAAATCCGAAGCCCGAGCCCCACTGACCGGGACTGAAGCTGAACCCTGAGCCCCGCTGCCCAGGGCTGAAGCCAAAGTCTGCGAGGCCGGGCTCAGGCTTCAGCTTCAGCCCTCTGCAGCGGGCTCACATTATAGATCTCCTGTCCGGGGCTGAATCCCTTGGGCTTTGGCCCCTTGCCTGGGCAGTGGGGCACAGGCTTCGGCTTTGGCTCCCCCGCCTGGGGTGGTGGGGCTTGGGGTTTGGCCCCCCCGCCTTGGGCAGCAGGGCTCAGGCGGGCTCAGGCTTCGGTCCCCCTCATGAGGTCGTGTAGTAATTTTTGTTGTCAGAAGGGCGTCACAGTGCAATGAAGTTTGAGGACCCCTGCTAGCTCAAACAGAAACGATGGGCTTGATGCAGAATTTGAGTGAGGTTCTATGGCCTGTGTTATGAAGGAGGTCAGACCAGATGTTCATAATTGCCCTTTTTGGCCTTAAAAATCTATGAATCTGGGAAAGGAGAATTTGAGAACTTATTTAAGCAGTTTTTGAAAAATTATTTGAAGGAAATGAAGTAAAGGCATGTGGATTAATTTACAAAGGGTAGGCACTTTATTATTCTAAAGCAGTGGCTCAAAAGCTATCCCTTGAAGAGTTTGTTGGGAGCTGTACATATCTGAGGGCAGAACGTTGCCCTTTGTGGTGACTCTGCTGCTGTTAAAATTGTACTTAAATAGCTTTTGTGTAAAATTGATTGGACTGTAGGTTATATGCCCTTGTCTGTTTTTGTATAACAGATATCTTGAAAAAAGCCTTTCAGAGATCACATTAACTGGTGTTAATAAATCAGTTGTATTGCATCTAAACCAGGCCAAAAAGAGGTGAGAGTGTTAGATTCTTGTTATAAATGTATTTTGTTTACATTACACCCTCGTAAGATTACAGAATTAAGGTTACTCCACAGAAAAACTTTAGTATGATTTCCAGTGAGAAATCTTCACTATGTGATGGATACCTGTCACAGAGCTCATCTTGAAAATTTAAATCAGCGATCCAAGAGATGACACATTCAGGAATGTATTTGTGTATATTTGTATATAAGTTTGTGTGTGTAAAGAATTTATTGGCCTTATTAATACCTATACATTATTAATACTTACGTTAAAATACTACTGTTGTATTTTTACCTTCCCTAGATGTTTTCAGTTTTTTTATTCCTGAGGTAGCTCTTTTTTCTAGATATCACAGTGCACTTTATCTTCCAATATATAAATTCTCTGGGAAGGGACTGTATTAATAGTCCTGTACAGAACTGAGTATCTTGTTGGTGCATAGATGGAGATAATATAAGTTATAATCTGTGATTCCAATGGGATCAAAAATTCTGATTGGGAAGATGCTAGGTTGAAGGTAACCCCAAATATGTTCTCTTTATTTATAACAGAAGCTTAATATCATGATTTTCAAAATAAGGTGCCTAAAAATTTATTCTTAGATCTATATTTAGACATCAAAATAACTGATCTTTTCAAAAATGCTAAGCAACCATTGAATTCAGTTGGAGCTGCTGGATGTTCAGCATTTTTTTAAAAATAGGCCATTTATTAAGTTGCCTAAATATGGATTTAGGAGCCAAAATTAAGGCATCCATTTTCAAAAATCTTGTTAATATCCATTAGTAAGACAGAATATTAAACATCTTGGTTAATATTACCATCAAGAGTACATATAGTGTTCTGTGTTTTTTGCTAACACACCCTATATTTGAACAGCTGAGATCTAAAGGCATGGCATTTCTGATGGAGGACTCGTGACTATACACACCACCCTTCCCCGGTGCACTACTCTTTAAACCTCAAGGTACAGCATAAGGCCTGTTGTCACAGTTTCAGTTGTAACTCTCTTAAGGTTTCAGGCTTAGCCATCACCTCTTTTGGATGGAGACCCATGTCTCTCCCTCCAGACTGGAGAGAGAGAGAGAGAGAGACAGACTGTGGAGGGATCAGGTCTGACTGAGATCCAGCATCTCTAGGTTGCTCTTTTTTCAGGAGCTACAGGAGGATACACAAGTTACCAGTCAGCCTTCACAGAGCAAAGTACATTTATTCTTAGGGCAAAAGTATTATATAGAGAACATATAAAACACAATAAAAGGAACTACCTGCATGCTAAAAGCTTAATAGAGGTCTCCCCCAACTCCAAATAGGGCTCTGGAAGGTGCTAGTCTTTCAAACCCCTCAGCCCGGTTTGCTCTCTTGGTCAAAAGTTCATATCAGGTTTCAGATCAAGAACAACCTTGGGACAGTTCAAGGGTTTCTTTATGAAGTTTGGGCCTTTAATAGGTGACACTAGTCAGTGGCCCTCTCCTCAAAAGGTGAAGCTTCAGAAACTGAGTTTTTGTATAACTTGTGTTGGAGAACTTGCATTAACCACTCTTCAGGGATTCCCCAGGAAAACATCTCAGTAAGCCATGAACCTAAAAACATTTTTAAAATGTACTGTCACAAAAATCCATGTCTGTCTGGCACACTTCACCTCATGGTTCCCGGATCTCACATCTGTCTGTCTCAAGTGTATATCCTTTTTGTGAGGAAAATACAGTACTACTGTTGTGTTGGTATCATGCCTAGGGACTATTTTGATGGGCTTATTAACGATGCATACCTATTAATTAATAAAACTTTTCTTTTTGAACAATAAATCCTTGTGCTTTCACTTCCAGTAGATGATCTGTAGATGTTCATTTTTTAAACCTGGGAAACCTTAAGTCACTTTCCAGGTGTATAGGTGCCTATAAATCTTTTGATTATATTGCAGTAGTAGAATAAGGTTAATCTAGATCTAAATGATTTTTGCTTCCTATATTTTACAAAAGTAAAATGTATGTTTGTTGCTGTGGTAGATACCAGCACATTTAATAGCATTTTAATTGGGAGTATGGAATGATTGAGATTTTATTTTTTAAATCTCATCTTTTACCAAATCTCCTCTCTCCAATTCAAGATGAATCAGACTTTTATCACAGTCTTTCAGGAAATGATTTTATTTAACACAAATAAACATGGGATTATCTTATATTTACATACTGGACAGGGCAGTAATTGAATTGATCAAGATTGCAAATAATGGACCAAGAAACACGGAAGAGTTGTAGTCTGTGTTTACAATTGTAAATTCAACTTTATTTGGATGTATTCGACAACTGTATTTGGTTAACTTTCTGATTTAAAATATTATTTTATCCAACTGTATATTATAATAGATTCTGTGATTAGTCTGACCAAGTAATTATGGGGTAGTAATTTAATTGTAAGGCGCTTATGAATTCTGCGGAAAAGGACCTAGGGGTGACAGTGGACGAGAAGCTGGATATGAGTCAGCAGTGTGCCCTTGTTGCCAAGAAGGCCAATGGCATTTTGGGATGGATAAGTAGGGGCATAGCGAGCAGATCGAGGGACGTGATCGTTCCTCTCTATTCGACATTGGTGAGGCCTCATCTGGAGTACTGTGTCCAGTTTTGGGCCCCACACTTCAAGAAGGATGTGGATAAATTGGAGAGAGTCCAGCGAAGGGCAACAAAAATGATTAGGGGTCTGGAACACATGAGTTATGAGGAGAGGCTGAGGGAGCTGGGATTGTTTAGCCTGCAGAAGAGAAGAATGAGGGGGGATTTGATAGCTGCTTTCAACTACCTGAAAGGGGGTTCCAAAGAGGATGGCTCTAGACTGTTCTCAATGGTAGCAGATGACAGAACGAGGAGTAATGGTCTCAAGTTGCAGTGGGGGAGGTTTAGATTGGATATTAGGAAAAACTTTTTCACTAAGAGGGTGGTGAAACACTGGAATGCGTTACCTAGGGAGGTGGTAGAATCTCCTTCCTTAGAGGTTTTTAAGGTCAGGCTTGACAAAGCCCTGGCTGGGATGATTTAACTGGGAATTGGTCCTGCTTCGAGCAGGGGGTTGGACTAGATGACCTTCTGGGGTCCCTTCCAACCCTTATATTCTATGATTCTATGATTCTCTGTTCCTATGGCTAGAGGACTCTGAAGTGAAGCAGAGCATTTCTTTTGCCACACAGAATAAGACACTCCACCTTCTAGAATTGTAAAATTTTAGAAGACATTTTTTTTCTGGAATGAAACATTTTTATCAAAAGGTAAGCAAAATTTTTCTTAAGCTTTCTCTGATTGGTACTCAGCGTTTTTCAGGTTGCCAGGGTCTTCAGTCGTCTTATGAAAAGCTTTGAGTTCTATCCAGAAACAAGCTAGAATGTTAAAGGTTTTTCCACTGGTCAAGCAGAGTTTCAAATGAAATCCGATTATTTTAATGGCTCTGTAATACCACATCCTTTCGTAGCCCATCTTTAGGTTATCAGTTTGTCTCCAGCTGTGTGTGCTGTGACCACACATTTCTTTACATTAAAATTAAAAAAAAAAAAAAAAACACAGGAAATTCACAGATTCCGTAACATACAGATTTAATTTTCTTGGGTCTCTACAAGGCAAGGAAATAATAAATTAAGCCAACACACACATAACAAAATGCCAATCTGCAAGCATTAATTTAGTACCACTGCAACACTCTACCCCACTGACATGCTAATACTCTGATACAAATCACTTTCAATTCAACATACTATTACCCTTGTTTCCTACATAAAACCTGAAAATCACAATCAAGTACACAATCCTAATTCTGACCTGTTCATTGTGGTGGTTTCTTACACAACGTACCGGTATATGAAGAGTGCTGAGCACCCTCAATTGGGGTTAGGGAAGGAACAGATTTTCAAAGTACTCAGTGTTTAGCAGCTCCCATAGTACTTAGTGTAGGTACCTAAATGTGAACTAGTCACTTTTGAAAATTTGTCTCATGAAATATTTGTGTGTGGGCTTGTTCAGTTGGTCGTATTGTATGGTTGACCTGGTTATACACACTTTGAAAACTCTGCTACTGCTGCTGAGACATCACTCGATGGAGGGTATTAATTGAACATGATACATGTTTTAATTTATTAAAAGTGCTGTTCATGTTTCCATAACTAGCAATTCAGGGCCAAATCTTGCCCTTAAGTGTATACTCATGGCTTTCCTTGACTTCACCGAAGCAGAAATTTCTCATGTCCCTTATGGAACAGTCCTATAGAGTTTAATAGAAAATAAACTTCCAAAGGTTTTTGAACCATTCCATTAGAATGAAAGAAAATTATACCCTGTTATAGATGGTTCAAAGAGCCTTTAGAAAGTTTCTCACTTTCTATTAAATCTCCTATAGATTTTAGAACAACTTCTGTAGAGACGTATTTATTTCATCTCTCTCAAATTCTGTTTCCATAAAGAATAGGAATAAAACTGATAGAATGGAGCGGAAAAAGCCCCAATTTGTCATGTTTGGTGCTTAGAATATAAAAATCCCTGCACCGGAGAAGAAATTATTGGTGCTGTTCACTGCTCTTTTTTTCTCATTACAAATGCTAAGGCATATTGCCTTTTGTTGTTCGTGTTTCTATCTTAGAGTCAAATTTCTTTCCCTGCCTATTTCTTTATTTGGCCAGTTTTGGGGTTCCTCATCCCCTAGCCACCTCTGTGTATTATAGCACTTGAGTCCACTTCCGTCTGGTTTGTTATGTTGTCTTTAAACATAATTGATAGAGCAAGCTCTCGGAATGGGTTTTGTTTATTGAATTTTGCTTCTTTACAGATGGCTGCAAATACTAAAGGTTCAGTGTTTTGAATCATGGACTTTTGTCATAGCTGTTGCAGTCTTTAGGTTTTTAAAGCCAAACAACCGAAACCCAACAACCCAAATCTAAGCGTGTCAAAGGGTAGGTGGGGATGGTAGTGTTTGGAAAGCAGTTGAACAAACCAGTGAGAGCCTTATGAGCTGTGGTACTAAATCCCGATTTGTCAGGGAAGCTAACGGAGAGTAGGAACCTGGAGACAATTCTGTGATGATTTTAAAAGGAGTGAAAAAGGCACCCCAGACCAGCGGCTGGTAGGTGAATTTTAATTCCTCAAGGACTCTGTGCGGACTGGTGGCAAAATCACAGCCCCAAGAATAAAGCAGCAGTAGCTATTTTGACTTCTCAATGACAGAGTAATAGAATAAATAAAATTCTAGGTTCCAGAGAATACTTTAAATTTAAGACACGTTTTGTGTGGAAACTACTGAATTGGGACCCTCTAAATTATCATGGCATAGCTGCACAATTTACCTGAACTACTAATCTGACATAGTACAAAAATAATTGTATTGTTTTAGATCTTTAAAGAACGGTACAAATATAATTTAATTACTTTACACTATTAATTTTGTAGGGTTATAGCCATTCACTGCATTGTTAGTGCTATTTTGCTACTCAGAAGCTATGCTCAGTACTACAGTAGGTAGGTTCCTACATGTGGGACTTTTTTAGCTATGAATTTCTTCCAGAAAAGAAAATGATTCATTTCTCTATTTCCCCCCCCCACCCCATTGTTATAAATACAAAGCACAAAGTATCTTCTGTGACATGGATGAAAAATTTGGGCCCAGAGAGTCAAAAGTGTTAACATGACCCTCAAACATTAAACAGAGTTAAACAAGGTTTAAGTGTTTGGTACACAGGTACCTTAGCCTGCTTAGTCTCATGGCAAACACCATTAAAAATCTTTTACTAAAGATGCAGAAAACGAAGGAAAAACAGTTAAAGCATTTGAAAAATGAAGTATTAAGTAAGGCTTTCATTTTAACAACATTTCTTGTTCCCTTTCCCTGGAGAGAGTTCTTAGAAGGAAACCTTGCCTATTTTGACAGTCTTTTAGATGGTAACTCTCCTTTTTTGAGAAGAGAAAAAGTTAGCTGAGATGAGCTGAAGCTGTTGTTAAAGACTAATCAATCCTGTTTCCTAGAAGACAAAACAAGACAAATGCACACAAGAAGGGATGAAAAAGAACAGGAAAAGAAAAATAGAAAATGGTGCCTGTCTTTGTGTTGTCTCCGCTAGCATCTTCACCGCTGGAGAAACAACAGCATGGCACGTGGTCTGATTAGTCACTCTGAGACCTGGTAAACTTGCACCAGCTTCAGGCAGTTTAGGAAATTGCTTTCATTATTCTCTCTGGTCACAGGCTTACAGCAGTGTTGCAAAATATATAGTCCTGGCTGGCTAAGCCTGACTTTTATTAAACAGAAGGAAAAAAGAGAGGGATAGGAAAGAGAAGGAATAAGGTGGGGCAGGAAAAGGATACACAGGGTGTGTGTGACAAAGTCTCACATCCTAGATGGTGTTCGGGATGTAGCTGGAGCCAGTGAAGGTGTTGATGTCATCTGGGTCCCTCTCTTGGCCCTGACTGGTCAGGACATCTCTCAGGATTAGGCGGACAAAAGCCCAACAATGTCACAGTGGCTCCTGAGGTCCCAGAACATGGTAGGGGTGGCAGCCATGATGGTGAAACTCCCCACTTCCCCTTCCCCATCTCTAATCTCTGTTAGGGAGTGATGAGTGGAATAGCCAGTCCTCTAATTATTTGGTCCGGCAATATTGGGCCTAATTTTTGACACCCCCATTTTGGTCTGTTGATTTTGGGACTCTCACAACAATTTTGGTCTGTTGATTTTGGGACTCACACTTCTTTAGCAGCATGATCTTAATTACAGTCCTTGAGTGATATCCGCAGGAGTTTTTATTTGGACTAGTTTAATCTTTTTGTTTCCCTTTTGCACCTTTTTATTATAGGTTATGACACTATATAAACTTCGACTCACTTTTTACAGTTGAGTTCACAATTACGATAAATCTGCAGGGACAATTATTACAACAGTTGTTGCACAATGTGTGAGTAAAGCACTTGAGTTAGCCATGAAACATACAGGAAAAGGCAAAACTTATCTTCAACTGATGTTGTATAAGCCAGAAAAGCTTGGATTATGTACTCTCCTGTGACAAGTTGGACGCTTTCCCATGTCAGTGCAGTCTACTTCTAAAGAAGCTAAATTCTCATTTAAAAAACAAAACCAAAAGCCCCCTCCAGAACCAATTTAGCACTTACGTGAAGAAAATCTTCTAAATATGAACCAAATGTAAACCGATGCAGAGATGTCACCTTGAGTCTTCAGACAGTTGTGCCTCTTCTGATGCTCAGAGTTCTGCCAAGTAGCTAAAGAATGAAAACGAACCAGAATCTTGAGTCTTCACTGGTGCTATTCAGAAGCCTGTGAGCAGCAGAAAAACGGACTAGAGTTGAGTAAGTTTCACTTTGCTACTGTCCAGTTAAGCTAGGAGCAGCAGCAGAGGCAATCATTCTGTTCTATAAACATTCTTATACTATGCTTATGTGAGCCGCTTCCAGTCTTACATTAAATGAAGTGACTACTCATCTGTCATGTAGTGTTTGTTCTTTCATCCTCTCCTCAGAATAAGGTGCAGTGCCTTTGTTTTGGTAAGGTTTTAGGTTTTGTTTTGTTTTTTTTTAACTATACGTGTTTTTATGTATTATGTTAGAGATGGCAGGGTGAAAATGTAGATGTTGAAAAGGACTGGGAAGAAAATTGATCCTTGTGGGACTCCATAAGTGAGGGGTCTAGTGATGGGAAATTGCTCCTCTACCACTACTCCTTGTTTGTGTCCCTCCAGGAAGGCTCAGACCATTTTAGTGCGTTACCCTGGACCCCTACTCCCTCTCCCTGGTGAGACAACACTATCTCATGGTCAGCAATGTTGAATGCTGTAGCGAGCTTCAGCAGGATCAGAATGGATCTGTCCTTTATCCATTGACAGGAGGAGATCATTCCTGAGTGCCACTAAAGTGGTTTCGTTTCCATATTCTGGCCTGAATCCAGATTATGACATGTCTAGAATTTTAGCTTCAATTAGATGATCTTGTAGTTGGCCTTTGGCTAGCTTCTCTTTGATCTTGTTCAGGAATGGGAAGTTTGACATTGGGCAGTAGTTGGGTAGAACTGATGTGTCCAGGGTGGGTTTCTTCAGTGTTGGTCAAACTATTGTATATTTGAAGAAGGAAAGGAAGAGTCCACCTCTGAATGAGATGTTGTCTTTTCAGTCGAGAGTAGCACCAGTTGTTCATGACTCTTACAAGCCAAGGATATTTGTCAGATTTACAAGTCTTGGGTCAGTACTCCCTTAGGGACTCCTCTCTCATTGAAGCTATTCCCTAGGATACAGGACCCAAAATCAAGGGTTTGGGATTGTGTAGAGTAGTGTAGATATCCCTGTTGCAGTAGTCAAGATAGGTAGAGCAGTTGAGATAATGCCCAGTACTTCTCAAGGCAAGTAACATGCTATATTTTATCATGGAGAAATGTGATACGTAATTCTGTATTGATAGTATTATCTGGCTTATTACCTTGAGACTGAAAAAAATTGATAGAAGCTATTCTTTGTCCGTCTAACTTTCACTGTGTGTTCAGGGTCAATCAGAGACTGCATGGGAGCCATCTGAAATGTGACATTTATATGACATGAGGCAGTAATTTAGATTTAATGCTACAGAGATAGCATTATTCCTTGTTGAGACACTTTTCTGCTCCTTAAATCTATATAGTTGTTTCTAGATAGTAATAAGGCATTTCAAGCTGTGCTAAAACTTCAAAGCATCTGAGCATTAGAATCTCTTTAAAGTGTTCACAATTACTGATGGCTTGAGAAATAGGTCACCTGTAAGATTTTAGAAATGGCCAAGAAACAGGGAATGGCTGTGTGTCACATAAAGCAGCCTAAAGGTTCTTGGCCAAATTGTGCACTGATTTGTACCGTGGGCAACTACCTTGATTCCAATAGGAATGCATAGGGATACAAGAAAGTTCAGAATTTGGTCATGTAATTTCAACTGGAACCTAGAAAAAGCATCTCTTCTATACATCTATATACAAGAATCTTGTATTCTATATTCTGCATTCTGTTAAACCAGTAAAAGTTGGATAATGAGTGTATTACTACATCCCATTTATTTCCTATTTATGAAGGGCTTTTGTTGTTAAAAGCTATTGCTATTTATTATGATTAAGCAAGAGGTAAAATCACTTAAGTAGAAAGAGGACAAATATCAATGTACTGTGTAAGCATAACATTGAAATTACAAATTACACAACTGCATTTTTTAAAAATAGAAATTTCAATAATTGCAAAATGACAGTTTTAGTACCAAAAGTTCTGTTTATAATAATGATATATAATTAACAGTGTAAACTTCAACTACTCTGTAAACCGATACATTGATAGTGATGTGGAGGTGCCCTGTCACTCAAGCAGGCATTACCTCAAGTTTTCCAGGCAATTCAGATGTTGATAGGGGCCAAGACTGTTGAATGGCTTGAGTGGCGGAAATGGTGTGTTCCATAGCCAGAGAGATTAAACCCCCGGATATCCAAATGACAAACAGGAAGATATGATTATACCCCTCCATGAAGATACAATCTTATACATGTCCATTTTTTCTTAATGTTTTATTGATCTTTACATTCTTAGAACTGTGTTTAAAATTGATTTGAACTGGAAAGCCAGGTTTGATTCCCAGTTCAGGAACTGATCCGTTTGACCTTGCACAAGTATCTAGCCCACTACGTAGGAAAGATAGGAAGTACGGCAAGAGACCACCCTGGCTTAACCAGGAAATCTTCAATAAGTCCTACAAAAAGTGGAAACTAGGTCAAATTGCAAAGGATGAATATAAACAAATAACGCAAGTATGTAGGGACAAAATTAGAAAAGGCAAGGCACAAAACGAGATTAAACTAGCTAGAGACATAAAGGGTAACAAGATACTATACTATAAATAAATAAGAAGCAAGAGGAAGACCAAAGACAAGGGAGGCCTGTTACTCAATGGGGGGAAGAGAGGGGGAGAATAACAGAAAAAGTGCTAAATGACTTTTTCTTTCAGTTTTCACCAAAAAGGTTGGTAGCAACTGGACATCCAACTCAGTGAATGCCAGTAAAAATGAGGTAGGATCAGAGGCTAAAATAGGGAAAGAAAAAGTTAAAAATTCCTTAAACAAGTTACAGAGTAGCAGCCGTGTTAGTCTGTATCCTCCAAAAGAAAAAGGAGGACTTGTGGCATCTTAGAGACTATTAGTCTCTAAGGTGCCACAAGTCCTCCTTTTCTTTAAACAAGTTAGATGTCTTCAATTCACCAGGGTCTGATGAAATACATCGTAGAATACTCAAGTAGCTGACTGAGGAGATCTCTGAGCCATTAGCGATTATCTTCAAAAAGTCATGGAAGATCGGAGAGATTCCAGAGGACTGAAAATGGTCACTGTGTTTGCCCGTCTATAGAAAGGGGAATAAGAACACCCTGGGGAATTACAGACCAGTCAGCTTAACTTCATTACCAAGAATGATAATGAAGCAATCAGTTTGCAGACACCTAGAAGATAATAAGGAGATAAGTAACAGTCAGCATGGATTTAAAGAATAAATCATGTCAAACCAACCTAATAGCTTTCTTTGACAGAGAACCAAGCCTTGTGGATAGGTGGAAAGTGGTAGACCTGGTATATCTTGACTTTAGTAAAGCTTTTGATACTGACATGCATGATCTTCTCATAAACAAACTAGGGAAATGCAATTTAGATGGAGCTACTATAAGGTGGTTGCATAACTGTTTGGAAAACCATTCCCAGAAAGTAGTGTGACAAAGTTCCTCCTCTGCCTTGGTGGGTCTTGCCCTTATTGGTGGATTTCCTCGCCTCAGAGATTCACGGCAGCCCTCAGTTTGGTCACTTTTGCTAGTGGCTCAAACCTGCCATTCACTCAGCTAACCTCATCACTAGCCAGCATGGGGAAAAGGAAGGAGAACAAACCCCGCAGTCTCTGCTGGTCCACCTAGTGGGTTGGAGAACAGGCCAGGGACCTTCTTCTCTGATGGGACCCACAGTTCAGGTCTCTGGTCACCCTCTACTCCAGGTTCTAGCCCAGGAACCTGTGGATCACAGCTGTCTACATGTTTCATGTAACCCCCGTGTGATAGCTACAACTCCCTGGGCTACTTCCCCATGGCCTCCTCCCAACACCTTCGGTATCCTCACCACAGGACCTTCCTCCTGATGCTAGATAGTGTTCGTACTCCTCAGTCCTCCGGCAGCACACCCTCTCACTCTCAGCTCCTTGCACACTCCCTACTGACTAAAGTGAGGTCCTTTTTAAACCAGGTGCCCTGATTAGCCTGCCTGTCTTAATTGATTCTAGCAGCTTCTTAATTGGCTCCAGTTGTCCTAATTAGCCTGTCTGCCTTAATTGGTTCCAGCAAGTTCCTGATTGTTCTGGAACTGCCCTGTTACCTTACTGAGGGAAAGGGACCTGCTTAACCTGGGGCTAATATATCTGCCTTCTGTCACTCTCCTGTAGCCATCTGGCTGACCCTGTCACAGTAGTTATCAGTTGTTCACAGTCAAGCTGGAAGGGAATAATCAACTGGGGTCCTGCAGGGATCAGTTCTAGGTCCGGTTCTGTTCAATATCTTCATCAGTGATTTAGATAATGGCATAGGGCGTACACTTAAAGTTTGTGGATGATGCCTAGCTAAGAGGGGAGGATTAAAATTCAGAATGATTTGGACAAACTGGAGAAATGGTCTGAAGTAAATAGGATGAATTCAGTAAGGACAAATGCAAAGTACTCCAGTTAGGAAGGAACAATCAGTTGTACACGTACAAAATGGAAAATGACCCTCTAGGAAGGAGTACTGCGGAAAGGGATCTGGAGGTCATAGTGAATCAAGCTAAATATGAGTGAAGAGTGTAACACTGTTGCAAGAAAAGCAAACATCATTCTGGGCTGTATTAGCAGGAATGTTGTAAATAAGACACGAGAAGTAATTCTTCCGCTCTACTCCGTGCTGGTTAGGCTTCTGCTGTAGTATTGTGTCTAGTTCTGGGCGCCACATTTTAGGAAAGATGTGGACAAATTAGAGGAAGTCCAGAGAAAAGCAACAAAAATTATTAGAAGTCTAGAAAACATGATCTATGAGGGAAGATTGAAAAAAAAATGGGTTTGTTTAGTCTGGAGAAGACAAGAATGAGAGGGGACATAATAGTTTTCAAGTACATAAAAGGTTGTTGTAAGGAGGAGGGAGAAAAATTGTTCTCCTTGTCCTATCCTCAGAGGTTAAGAAGCAGTGGGTTTAAATTGCAGCAAGGGTGGTGTAGTTTGGACATTTGGAAAAACTTCCTAACTATCAGGGTGGTTAAACACTGGAATAAATTGCCTAGGGAAATTGTGGAATCTCCATCATTGTGGATTTTTAAGAGCAGGGTTGACAAACACTATCGGGGATGGGCTAGGTAATATTTAGTCCTGCCATGAGTGCAGGGGCTGGACTAGATGACCTCTTGAGGTCCCTTCCAGTTCTGCACTTCTATGATTCAAAGTCACTTCAAGTAAAATTTCAGAAGTGTCCAAGTCCTATCTTCAGACCAAATTCAGAAATTTAGGAGCCTAAGTGCCTAAATCAGTTTTGAAATGGGACTCTTCTCCCATAGTTTAACTGGTTTGTCCGTTTAAACTGTAAGTTCTCGGGAGTAGGGCTTGTCTCTTACTTGTGTGTGTGTATGTATAGCACAATGGGGACTCTAGGGTATAATTGTAATACAAACAACGTAATTATGTTGCTAATCTCACTGTTGGCATTTGCAGCTTCCTTTTAAGGGCCTAAATCTTTTGCCGGTTTTAACACAAACATTTAGACAAAATGTAGCTTCTTTTCAGCAACTAGAGGCAGCTAAAAAGTTGATAAAGTACCTTGGGAGAGTCTCCCCCTACCTTGGTAAAATGGGTTCAGGAACAGCACCTTTTAGAAATCCCAGCACCCTCCCCCTTCCTGGCAGTTGTGGGAGAAAAGGTAGACTTCCTGCTAGATTATTACCATTGGACCTCGCTATTCTCAATATGATCTGTATCCACCTTGTGGGTTCAGTCTTTCACCTACCATATAACTGATATGTCTTTGAAGTTCTAGTTTAATGTTTGCTCTGAAATGAGAATTGCTATGGATATTTTATAGCTGGTAATCTAACTGTATTTAATTTTGTTCCCTTTAGACATTCCTGACATTGTGAATGGCAAACATCTTAAAATTTTCAGGTGAGTTTCTTTTTGTTGTATTTAATTATTTGTGGTCTGTATGTGCCCGACTGGACATCTCTAGAAATGGCATGGCATATCTCCTCAATTTTTTTTTGTTTTTGGATAAAAAAGCAAACCACCCCAGCATTCTACAAAAAGCAGTTGGTGGAGGACAGTGTTCTCTTGTTTGAAGGGAAACTGATGGCATATTATTAGTGTACTCAATATTTTGCTGTTCTAGTTTTTTTCTTAGCTACTGCAGCCTAAAAATTGTAACTTACTAGCTAGTAACAATCAATTATTGAAATATTGTAAGGTTTAAAATGCTGAGACTGTTAGGATTGAGTTCATATAACTTCAGTGACTACTTTTTTTGGATATTTTCAAACAAACTTTTAAGATGGGAAATTCTCTGCCTATATTTTAGCAATTCATATAGCAAATAACTTCGACCATGCTCTGTTGAGAGATTCAGGGGATCAGAGTTATGGTGCTGAGCTTGATTCTTTTCTCCATGCATCAGCAACGGCTCAGTAGGATGCACTATAGAGTTAGCATTCTTCCTTTCCTGAAGAAGAAAACATACCTTGAATGTTATTTTGGGAGACTCTTCTGGCTGCAGAGAGACCAACATCCAGTTCTTAACCAGGAGGGCAGGCCAATATATAGGCTCAAGGCACAAAGTTTAATGGTAAATGGGAAGATATCCGAGCACCACTTCTACCTGCCACATACACTCTTCTCCCTTCCCCCCAAAAAGGATAAATAGTAGTTATCTGCATCTCATGTATCCTATCATGCAGTAGTTTCAGTATTGTATTGTTTAGATATCCCTTAAGTAACCAATATGAGTTAGGGCACCGTTTTATCTTCTGATATGTGGGTGCATCATACAAACTAGATACAGTAAAATCAGTAGTCGTACATGTGTACACCAGATGCAGTTGTTGATTTTTCCCTCTAAGATTTCAATGTGATTTCAAAGATTTGCATAGCCCCGGAATGCTCTGCCATAAAATATAATTCCTGCCAACAACTTAGAAGACCTTGTAAAGGGATTAGACATTTATATGGATGAGAACTGGCTCAGACAATTACATTAAAGGAGATACAACTTTTTTTTTAAAAAAATTATTTTTTATTTTTTGAGGGATATAACATTTCAAAGCATGAGCCAGCCACTAAGTCATGGAGACTGGGAAGAAACTTTCTGTATGGACAGGTGTCATGGTTACAGGTGAAACTGGTTTTGTCCCTCTTCAGAGCACCCCTTAGGTGACAGGCCTGGCTTCTACAGCATACTCTGGGTGGAAGCACAGAGTTCAACCGTTCTGGGACTGGATCTCTGTGCTGCAGCCCCTTAGCCTGTTTCCTAACTGTGTTAATGTGACAGGCTCTGCGGGGTTTGGCATCTGTAAGAGTTTCCCTTCTGGAGCTTGTGACAATATAAGTTTGCAGTGACAGAAACAACATCTTCAAAACAAAACATTATTTATTCTTTCATCCTAAGGTACAAAGCTTGCTGAGCAAAGGGTTAGAACAACAGAGTCCTATATACCTATTTTCCTATACCTACACCTTAGTCCTTCGCAAGTATTTGCAAGTTCCATTCAGTCTAGTTAACCCCTATTTCTGGGGAGAAGCAGACTGTCCTGCTCGTAGCATGCTCTCTTTCGGTGTCTCTCTTAGCTCTCACTGACACTCCCTGGGCAGCCTCTCCTTCCTGCCAAAGCTAGCATTTTAAAGATTTTTAGGATCCCCTTTCAAACTAGGCCTAATCTGGGGGAGAGTAAACTCTTCGTAGCCTAGATGGAGCCAGTAAACAATTTTCCTGTTGTTTCCTTGAGGATTCTTATCTGTGTCATTGTTTTGCCTTTCCTGCTTGATTCCTTTAACAATCCTAAAGATTTAACTCTGTGCATTGAGGCAGGAGAATATTACAGACAGTCTGATGGCTATATGATATTTATAAAAAAAAATACCACACATAAATCCCTCTTTCTCCACAGCAGGCTATTCTATAATCGGAGTTTCTCGGACCTGATACTGAGTACAGGATGATGGATTAGATGGACCAGTGGTCCAATCTGATACGGTAATTCCTGTGTCCATTTGTAAAATGAAATCCTTAAGGATGGATTTTCAGAGCTGCTGAGCACCTTCAAGTCCTTTTTACTCAGAGCAAGTTACAGGTGCTCAGCATTTTAAATGTTTGTTTAAAATTCAGCATAATAAACTAGCATTTCCCCATGGCAATGCAAAACCGCAACAATAATCCAGTCAGACTGAAGGCAAACTATACGGTCGAGCTACATTTATCTAGGAATAACTATAAGAAATCTTAAGAATTGGGCAGTGCAGTGGATTAATTACCACAGCTCAATCTGCTCTGTCCATTAGGAAGAAGGCTTTGGAGGATTTCATCTATGTGGTAGGAGTTAAATTTAAAGGGACTAAACCTCCAACTGCCATGAGTTCAGGAATGCATAGAGTGACTTATCGTACCATGAACATTCTGACAGAAGGTTTGTGTTTTATTACCTTGTTAGAACCACAGTAGATTTATCCATGTAAAAAAAATGGAAAAAAAATGGCTATTGCCCTTGAGAAAAATCATCTACCAAGTGCCTTTAGTATAGTCAAACATCTATAATTTCGACACTGGGCCTGATGTGATTATTAAATGAATCTTTCCTCCTTTATGCAGCCTCTAGCCTTTAGAAAGTAATAGATTCAGTATGTGAATTTAAATTACACATGCATTGTATCTCCTTGGAATCACTCATACAACATTTTAACATTTCTCATAGATCATAATGAACTACTGTTTTCCAGTAGGTGGAATATTAGCTCTGCACATTGAGCACCCAAATGGGGAAGTTGATCCAACTGCAGTTATTACTTTGCACAAAAGGAGTTAAGTCTGTCAAATCTAAAACCAACTGGTTCATAGTCAGAAGGGTACAGAATAGAAATTGACAGTAGGAGTAGAATGAGTAATATTTAACTTACATTTTTTCAGGGTCTCTTATCCCACAGAATTCTAAAGCACTTTACAAACTAGATAGATACATGAATCACTTAATTCATCACTGAAAGCAGCCAGATGTGGGTTGAAAAGTCATAATGGTTTTAGTTGTGCTCAGCAGCAGTATACAAGTTCAGTGCAGGAAATGAAGAACATTGTATCAAATTTGAAACTGCAGGGGGGATTTAAATTGATAGTGTAAATTAGTAGGACAGATTTGCTTGACTTAATCCAGTTCCCCTGTAAAAATGTTAACGCTGCTGTTCTTTTAAAAAGTTTCTTGATTTATGCCTCATCAAAAAGACAGCGTCACCGTCCCCCCATATGCCATGCTGGGGCACTAGGCAAGTACTAACTGTCAGAGAAGATAGTCACTGCTATAAATGGCCAGTATCACTTCCTGCAGAACCCTTCGTGATAACCTATCAAAATACAGACCAGACCTTTCTTGGCTGAGATCTTACCATGTTGGAGTCCCATGCTGTATAGATGTGTAAACACTGCAATTAGTGTGGTATACAGCAGCATGCATTTTAACAAACTTTAATCTATACAGTCAGTACTAGGTTCGTTAACACTTTAAGCACTGACTTCTCCTGAGCATCCCCATCTGCTTATCTTAACCCAGCACCCCACTCCTGCTAATCGTATACACCACCTCCCTGCTGCTTTCTTGTCTCCCAGTTGGATAGTTGCTGGCGTGGGGTTCTTTTTTAGATTCCCCTGCTGATATACTGTCCCAGCGACATGTGCCCCCCGCCCCTACAGATTTCAGCATGAGTGTGGAACAAGTGGAAGAAAGATGTATCATTTGCGCACACATGAACCAGTAAAGGTTTGCAGAGGACAGAGCACACTGGGACTGATGTGAGGCTAAGGCTAATGCAGCAAATCCTTTCTGGTTCCAGACTTATACTTCTACCTGACCTGACTGAAAACCCTTTTCAGTAACCAACATTAGTTAATTTTTCTGGGTTCTGAATTTTAAACATTAATTATTTTTCATTATATCTTTTTTCTTTAAGAGAATGGGATGGCGATCTGAAGAAACTGCCAAACATTAAAATGAGAAAAGTGTCTACTAAAAATGCTGTTTGCAGTAGGACGGAGGTGGCAAATGGGGAAGCTGAAGAGGAATTAGATGCAGCAAAAGACACAGACTAATGAGCACCAGCTGATACGAAAGATAAAATAGCTGAAAGGGACTGCCAGGAACCTATTTGAACGATCACTGGAAGCAGAAATAAAGCTGGTATTTTCAATTATATTTGAGAAGACATGGCTTGAATATTTGATTAGTTGGTTGTGCTTCACCCTGGCCTTAATTTGTGGAGTGAGATTTCAGCAAGCAGCATGTTAGATTCAGTGTGGTGCTTACTTAAAGAAAAATGAAGGCTTTAAAATTTAAAACTTTCAGAAAATCTCCATTTCCCCCCTACCTCTTCCACTCTAGCTTCTCTTCAGGGTGCAAGCCCCTGGATATGGGTTGATGGGGAATAGTTATCTCTAGCCTAATGGCTGTGGGACAGTGCACTATCTGTGACTCACCTGTTTTGGCAAATGTAATGGGGGGGGGTAAGGGGGATTTTCTTGGTAGTGCCCATTCATTGGATGATGATAATGAGAACATAAATGTAATTTAATTTTGATAAGTAGGTAAGATACTGTTATACAGCAGACTGCCTTTACCCATAACTTGGTCCATTACCTGAGGCCTTTAAGTTAAGATAAAATGGTACTAAATAGGTGACTTAAATCTATCCCCATAGCCACCATCTCCAGATTTTCTTTACTGAGCCAGCAACCAACCCTCAGCAAATTGTGCATTGGCAGATGATGGCTGAAGCTTGGGTAATGGCTTAGAGAAGCAGGCTTTCATACAGCCTCATGTTAGCACACTTGAAAAGAGCGTCAAAAATTGGAGGAAGGCTTTTGGAGCCTCCTGTAAAGCATCCCTCTACCTCCCTTTGTGCCTAATTTGGACCCATCTTTCAGAAAAGCCCTTGTCAGACTTTGGAAAAAGCCAAGGAGAGAACAGTAGGAAGAATTTCCTTCTCTACCCACTTCCTTTAAGGGCACAGGCCCTGGCCTGTAACTAAGAAATGTATGCCAAAGTAGAAGCATAGTGTCCCATTTAGTGATAGGGGATATCCATAACTTGATTATCAAAAGGGTTCCTAGGTCTACAACTGCATGAACTCAAGAAAAGCCTTTTACTCTAGGGCTGTAGAGGCAGAATGTATTTCTGCCACTAAAAGCTATGTGCACAGATTGACTGACTGTTTTCTGACGCCAGTGGTAACAAGTTAACCCTTTTACGGAAGAGATTTTATTGCCTTCATTACGAAGACTGAGTTGATCGCTAAACTGAGACACTGTTGGTTATTTGGTGTGGCTTAGTGGATAGAATACTGGACTGGGGTTCAGGACACCTGGGTTCTCTTCCCAGCTCTCCCACTGGTCTACTGGGTGACCCTAGTAAGTCACTTTCCTGTGTTTGCGTATTTGTAAAATGAAGATGATGATGCTTATTTCCTTTGTAAAGCACTTTGAGATTGACAGATGAAAAGTGGTGTGTATGAGGTAAGTAATAGTATTTGTACCATTGCTAGCACATTTACACGGGGATGCTCTTGTGGCACTGTCAAATGATTCATAAAGTGGGTGGGCTTCCCCAGGGTTTAGTCTTAAGGGATGCTGCTGGGTCTGGCAGAGACTTGCCAAACAGGCAATAGTTTGCAGGTGGGCAGTTTTTAACATCTTCAAGTTAAGGGAATTTATATGGATCAGGTATTCAGCCCATCCCTCACTCATAGGGAAATACATAACAATTGAGCTCAAGGCTATTGGAAAAAACCTGACAATCTCATTTTGCTGCATCCTTCCATCCCTGTGGAAGGGACTGGGGACTCTGGATACTTTCATGGAACCTGCTGTGAGGCCCAAGCGTGTCTCTTTTTTAGCGAGTAAGGTCAGACAGTGGATAAAGTACATGGACCTGACTGATATGAAGTCTAGCGATGGTAAATGCTTTGTATTCTACTGAGCCAAATTGCCAATTCTAATATCTGTAGAAAAAAACCTGCCACGCTGTCACAGTTGTGTGGGATGTTTTCAGGGGCATAGATTTGTTGGTGCAGAAACTCAAGGTAAGATTAATTTATAGAATCCAGAATTCATTTTTCTCTTGGGCTTAGTGGATATCATGTGTAATTTGGGGCTGAGTGGGTTCTTGATTTAATATGTAAAAAAGGCTTTCTTGGGTTCAATGGTATGACCATTAGGCTGCAGAAGAGAAGAATGAGGGGGGATTTGAGAGCTCTGCTTTCAACTACCTGAAATGGGGATTCCAAAGAAGATGGATCTAGACTGTTCTCAGTGGTAGCAGATGACAAAACAAGGAGTAATGGTCTCAAGTTGCAGTGTGGGAGGTTTAGGTTGGATATTAGGAAAAACTTTTTCACTAGGAGGGTGGTGAAGCACTGGAATGGGTTACCTAGGGAGGTGGCGGAATCTCCTTCCTTAGAGGTTTTTAAGGTCAGGCCTGACAACCTGGCTGGGATGATTTAGTTGGGGATTGGCCCTGCTTTGAGCAGGGGGTTGGAGTAGATGACCTCCTGAGGTCCCTTCCAACCCTAATATTCTATGATTCTATGACCAAAACCTCCTTGTTGTGCTCAAGGCTAAGTTTTAAGGATCTGTAGTGTTAAGCATGTCTCTAGGATGTGGGGTTTGATTTGCCCTCTGTGTGAGACTCAGTGGGAGGACCAGCCTTCACCAGACTCCTCTGTTACTGCTGTTAGGAGATGTAATTCAAAACTAAACCTCTTGCTGTCAGGATTCCCTAATTACAGGGTATCACTCCTTTCCTTATGACTGAAATGGGAGGCAATGTTGGATACCACGCTAGAAGTTAGTAAGTGGAGGGCACAACTGGCATAGTTTGAAACTGTTGTGCCTCTCTTTGTCAGTGATGGATACATCTTGCAATTCTGTGTTAGTTCTGTTAGGCCCCTCCTCGCCTATTCTTAGCAAATTTCATTCAGTTACTTACCAGCTTTTTTTTGGTATGTGGTCTGGATAGGGGATTTCCTGCCCTGGACAGTGAACTACATTGCATAACAGTAAGTTTCTATTATTAACCAAAACAACCAAAACCAAAAAAACTCCCTTCTTGCCAGACAGAAGGCACATGCACTGTTATGGTTTGAACTAAACTGGATTAGCCAGTAATACAGAATTAACCACTCTGTTTCTTAAACTCAAATGAAACAATGCTACAAGGAAGTGAGCTGGAGAAATTAGAGGCCTGGAAGATGTTTGAGTGACCTTTCTCTTGTAAGCTGCATCCATGGCCATCCAGCAGTCTGGTAGCTAGTGCGCATCTCATGTGGCTGGGAGCGCAGCTGGTACCTGGGCTCTTAATCAGCCGGAATCTGTGGCAGCTCCTCTCAGAGCTGGGGACCAGGAGGAACCCGAGAATCAGCAAGGAGGAGGGGTGAGTAGTGAGGTGAGGGAGGCAGGGGCTCTGGAGAGAGCACGGCTGGCACCCATGTCCCACTCTGCCTGTCAGGCCCTCCTGGCGGAACCCATGGAAGCTCCTCTCAGTGCCACAGGAAGTTGTGAGCCAGCAAAGAGAGGGAGCTGTTCATGGTGCCATCCCAGGGCATGTGGAGACGCTAGACCCTGAGGCTGGCAGCAGCATCGAAGGCTGGCAGTGCTAAAATGAGCCCCCAGCATCCCATCCAGTACAGAGTAGTGGTGGGGGGAGAGCCTATACTGCCGTTGTGGCTGGGACATAGGTGCCCGGTTTGTAACTCCCTCCCAGGGACTTGGGGTAGGGCTGGCTTTGAGGCAGGGTTGGGGAGACCCTAAAATCCTTTCCCCAAGGAAGTCTTGAGCTAGCAGGGAGGGATAAGGGGAGGCAAGATGCACCTGGGAAGGAACAGTCTGGGGTGGGGTGTCCCCTCAAGGGCTGTCTTTCACATCTTTGCTCAGTTAACCCATCATTCCCTAAGGCTGAGCATCTGAGCATTCTCATTCGTCCCTGCTAAAGGTTTTATTGCCTGCTCTACACACCCTGCATTGGTTTAACTAGAGATGTGATGATAACTGATTTAGTTAAACTGGTGCAATGTGATGTATAATTGCTCTTAACTCTATTTAAATCTGTCTCATCTGCGTAGCTTGCCTTGGTAAAGGTCCAAACAAAACCTGAACTGATATCATTGATCTGAATCACCAATTGACCTGTGTCCACAGAGCAGGTATGGAGGTTTTTTGGTTTGTTTTTTTAAACCCAATTTTAGCTGAATTGGTGTAACTTCCATATATAGACAAGTTCTGTGTTTCACTTTGGTGATAGAATCACTGCAAGAAGTTCTTTTTTTTTCTGCATTTTCTTTTAATGGAATGAATAAAAGGGGCAATAAGCCTTATTCTTCCTGGAAGGACTCGAAAGGCTAGTTTGTCATTGTAAAAGATGTGATGTCCTTAATAGCACTGTGTTAAACTGACATTTGAGTAAACATTTTTTAAATAATGTATGCTATTTAGAGTCATGGAGAATGTTAGATTAGCTAAGTTTTTCCATGAACAGTTCCATTAAAACAAAAGGCAATATATAAAGCAAATGTATAATCTGTAAAGTTAACTAACTTGACAAAAATCGAGCAGTCTTGAAATAATTTGTAATACTTGCTGCTCACGTTATGCATTTTCAAATAAAAGCGAAACTAGATAGAGAAATAAAAATTTTAATTGTAATCTTATGTACCCTGTGTTCCTTTTTGCTATCGTGTAGACTTCAGCTTTTTTAGACTATTATGTAGGTTACACAGGGAAACGGAAATGTCTCCAGCTAATGAAGAGAAAAATGTTTTTTATATTGATTGTAGCCAGAAAAATTACTATAAAAATGGCAAGATCTTACATAGGGAAGAGATAGGATGACTATCTGACTCATGCTGACAAACGCAAATTGGTATCAAGTGTCAGTATAGAAAAATGAGCTGGATTTTATTCTGTCTTGCACATCATCAATTTGTCGAGTAAGTTTTGACTGCAGAATCTTTATATGGTAATGATAGAAGAGAGAGATTCATGTTGACTTTTAAATTTCCAGGTTGAGAATGTTATTGAGAGAGAAAATGAATATGGAATCCCATGATGTCATTTTTATAGTAATCTTTCTGACAATTACTGTGCTTTACAGCCAGCTGGTGTGTTTACTGGATTGAAGAGCCTGTTCCTTCTCTGAATGCTATAAGGATGCTTTGATGATCTGTTGCACTTACATTCTCTTTTAAATGTGACTGCCATTAACATGAAAAGTTTGCCTTCTAATTACACCAGTGTTTTTCTATGTTTAGACTTAGATTGCTTTAATATAGGAAATACCGTGGAAATGTTACTTGCAGAAAGTGGTTATAAACATTGTAATGTTAACCACTGTAGATGGGAGGTGCTCTGTGTTTATAACTAAACTTTATCATGCTCTTTTAATTAGAAAATTCAAAAGAAGTTCTTTTTTTCAGAATGCTGTGGGCTAATTTTCCCCCCACCCAAACGTCTACGGTTTTTTTTAGTTAGCTTTAGGTAATTGATTTTAATGGTGTTTAACTGCAAAGTTTTAAGTGCTAGAAGCAGTCTTTGTTTTAGCTAGAGGGAGTCAAAATAAGTTGTGTACAAAACTTCAAACTAGCGTAAGGGCTGGTCTACAAATTAATATAGCTCAAATAAGATAGGATGTGAACTTAAAGCAAATGAATGATGCCTCATTAATTTCACATGTAGACAATTTTATTTCCAAATAAGAGTGCCTTATTCAGAATTAATTTAATCAAAGAGGATTAAGCTAATTCTGGAATAAGAGCGTCCACCCATGGGGTTAATCAGGGGAAAAGAAACTGCTGTTATTGCATCAGTTAGTTGATGACTAAATTGGTATATTTCAGAAGCTTTCGAAGATGGGGCCTTTCTTCCCCCCATTCCTGCTCATTCATTCAGAGGCATGGAAGCTTCCTGAGGGATCATATCTAATATACAAATGGGAGATAGAGGAGGGGCCACCTGGTCATGTTTTTTCACATCTTCACTAAATTTTACCAATTAAATGTGAAGGCCTCCTCTGCCATTGGAGGAAGAGACCTGTCTGCTAGTATTCACCCTGTAACAGTGTCTTTTTTTATTTTTTAATACATCCATCTCATCATTTGTCCTTTGTTTCTCTTGCTGGTGACACATTCTTTTTGGACATCCCATTGTAATGGATCTGCAGATTTTTCGCTGTGAAGAAGAGGAACATTTGCCTTAGCTGAGAATCACCTTTCTTCTAGCATGGAAGTCAGCAGATCCAACCCACCCACCACAAGGTTATAGTTCTGAGCGAGACTTCAACTGTTGCCCTCTCCTCCATTTTCTTTTTTGGGCACATATGTACATATTGTATATATCCGCTGTTAATTGGGGTGGAATTTGAAGTTACTCTCATCTAGGAAGGGTTTATATAAATTTGTTGTTATACCTAATAACCTGTGAATTAAGGTTTAAAGGAATTAGCTCTACAAAGCAGGTCTAGAAGGATCTTGAACTGGCTTACTAGATGCATCTTCAAGAGTGTGGCCTCTCCCAGCCTGCTTTGACTGACTGATCTGGTGTCTGCCTCCAAGGAGCTGCAACTATGAGTAAGATCCATTATAATGGAGCTGCAGAGTGTCACTGTAAAGAAAATGTTCAGGTAGGTTTTTTTTAAAAAAAGGTTCCTAATAGGGAGCCTCAGAATACCATTTTAGTAAGCTGTTCTACAGAGTAGAACTGTTCTTTAAGCACCTACACTTAAACTGTTACCTTGAAAATGTGTGTATAGTGGCATGAAAATACCCTGTGCAAAGTGTCATGAGGCATATAATAAAACTCTGCTTACAACTTTAACTATGGATTTGCTACGGAGTAGTTTTGTAATCAGGGTAACTCTTAATTACCATAATTCAAATACACTGACCAATTTTTGACATAAATGGAACAGCTGTGTCAGTCTGTAACTAGTTCATTATTAGAAATGAATTAGAATTACTAAACCAACATTTACATAGAGAGCCTGGACTAAAATACTGGTCTCTCATTCACTGCTCTAAAAACACAGGCTTGTTCCAGTTGAGGTAAAAGAAGCTCTCTGTCATGCTGTCAGCCCTGATTTATATTCTTGAAGCTACATCCAATCAAGAAGGGCAGCATGCTCATTGAGAATGACTGGGTCGCCATGCTATTCCCTAGCCTACTACACATCGAATGTGATCTTGTCCAAAATTCTTATTTATTTTGCAGCTTTAGAAAGATAAGCAGCAAATCTCAAGGTGAGATTTCTAACAGTTCTCAATAAAACCTTGCCTGAGCTTCCCCTCAGACTGGTTTATGCCCAGAGCTGCTCTCTGCAGGGCTTCCTGTACCTAGCTGTTTTACCTCTGAGAGCCACTGAGTTTTTATTGGTTGCTGAACTGGTTCAAGTGAAACCCACCTAATTTTGTTACTACAGGTGGTCTTTCTTCAAAGAGAGATTTACAGACAACATGTCTGGCTTTAGGAACCTCTTACTTTGCTACAACAATTCCTGTGTAAATTTGCTTAAGAACAACCTAATTTTTTCAAATTATAGACTGTGTGTACTAGCTCTTAAGGAATTTTAACTATATGGCAAGTTTGAAGGAGTAATAAGCTAGTTTTTGCTTTCTCCAAGAGCTTCAAACTGCACGCAAAGCACCAATTGGAATAAACAAAAAAGTGCTGTTTTAATTCCCATTTCCTCAGTGTAACTAGAAAAGAGGATACTCCATGCTGTCCTGCATACATCTTACCAAAAGATATGTGAATTCTCAGGCAAAGTGATAAACCCTACACTCCTAAGATCAAGTAGAACTGTGCATCAGGAAGTACCTACTGCTGTGGAGGGTAGGGTGGAGTCCCGGTCACCTCTAAGGTTGCAACCAAATTCCAACATAAGCTTTATTTTAGCTGCCCAGCTTTAGCAAAGGACAGTTTTTTCCCAGAAAAGGTAGGAAAAAAATTGGCCATAAGGTTACCATTCATGGACACTAGTCAAACATTACTTCAGGTTACCCACAATTCCCTAATTTTAAAATAAATGTAGCTCTGTATTTGTATACAATGGATAGAAATGAACATGTCTAATAAAAGCAGTTCAGTCATTTTTATTTTAATGCACTTTCTGTTTTTACTGGCAAAGTTGGGCATGTAGATCTGTTTAAACTATGAAATTTTCTTTACACTTTGGCAAGGCTGGCTTAGATGATTTCTACTGCAACTCTTAAAACATGTTCTCTCAAGGAGCACTGTGATCCATTGGTCTTGGAGGCAATGGATACCATTTGATAATGTCAGACTGCTACAACTATGCTCTGGATAATCTATTTAAAACAAAGCAGACTATCATATAAAAATGGTGGGGCCCATACTTGCTGGAATTCTGTGCAAAGGGGCTTTTAAAACTTAACCAAAATCTTTTCCTGGGTGCATAGCTTGAGACAATGGGGAGGGGTCAGAAAGATGGAATCCTCCCAACAAATTCAGTTATAATTATGCTTGGAGGTCTGCCTCTGGGGAGAAATGGGATGTGAAAATGTTTTGTCCTGTTGAAGGAACGTCACACTTAAAGCAAACATAAATTTTGCATTTTTGCTTTAACAAACCAAAATGTTTTTTCTTTTGGAAACTCAAATATAGTATATGGTGGTAACATCATTTCTACCACTTAAAATACAGAAAACTGCAGTGGTTTGGGTCATTTGTTTAATACAAATACAAATTTGTTCTACAACAATTAGAAGTTATATTAATTTTGTTTCCCTTTAAAACCCGCCCTCCCCCTTCTTTCAGTACATATTCACTCACAAAAACCAACCGTTTTTGGAAAAGAGAATGGGGTTAAAGAAGTAACAACTCTTAGTTCCAGGTATTACACAGTGTAAAATATTTTCTTCATAGATTGTGTCAATTATAAAAAAGGGCTTGATCTGATGATGGGGAATGTATAGTTATGGACAGGCCAGGAAAATAACCACTTGCTTTCAGCTATAATGCTATGTGAAATAGTACCATTAGACTGGGTAAAAATCCTCATCATACTAACACAAAGGTAAGTGGTGCATTGTCACTGTTTTAAAATGAGTAATTGAAAATGTTAGTTCTGGAAATGGAAACAGATTTTAAGAAACCAAGAAAGAAGAGATCCATGTCCACATAGGGGACAGAAGCATTTTGTTTATGTTCCACAATTTCTCACTAATATCTAGTAATTCTGCAATCCTTATCCAAGCAAAACTGCCACTGAAGTTAAAGGGAGTGTTGCTCAAGCAAGAAGGCAGAATTTGGCTTCATATCCATGCAGTCTACCTGGGACTGACCACATCTACAAAAGGGCAGCTCACAATGAGTGTTCGTCCCAGAGATGATCCTGCAGTTCTTAGCCAGTCCAAATTCCACTGAGGTGAGAGGTGTTTTGCCTGAATAAGTACTGCATTTGATTACTGGGCCTAGGCCACTGTGGTTTAGCTACTTATGTATATGTAGGTTTTTACTGATCTTTAACTTCTTCTCAAAATAACATTAAAAGAAAAGCATTAAATTACTACTTGCCAATGAAAAAGAGTGGGTTTTGTGGCACAGAATCCTCAAGTGGACTACACTGATTGATTGGGTTCCTACAGAACATTATACTCTCTGATAGACAGGGATGGCAGATGTCCAGTACTTACACTCTTGACCCATTTTCATGTGAAGTTATTTATGCAAGCCTGTATCCATAACACCTCCGTGTAAATAATCTTTTTTGCTGGAGACAAGTCTTATACTACTAGGTAAATGTGGCTTTGAGTATATAGCTAAATTTCTACCCCAGACCAGAAGAAAGAGCTTTGTGTAAGCTCTAAAGTTTCTTATATCAATAGAAAGATATAAGATATTACTTCACTGACCTTGTCTCTCTAAAAACCATCAAGTCAACTGTAACTGACAGAGGGGATGAAGGGGGGAGAAAGGACTTTAACAGGGCTTAAGGCCCTTCAGTTTTTACCAGTTTAACTGATAAATTCCTGAGTTTTACAAAACAATTTTTTTTGTAAGAAGTAGAAGAGACAAGGGCATCTTCTCCTTATGCTGCTGCCTCCGTCTCTTCCACTTCTGGGCCCTGCCCAGAAGGAGAGATGGTGTCTGGGTAGCCCAGTTTGTGAAGCCACTGTCTCTGCTTCCAGAGCGGTGAGCCAGGTCAGAAGTATGGGAATGACCTAAATCTCATGCCCACTAAATACATATTTCCAGCTTTACAGAGAACGTGGATAAAAGTTAAGGAATTACTTTTCACACTAAATGGGTTGAAAATAAAAAACTGTATCTGACTATCTTTCGGACCACTAGGAGCTTTCTGAAAGTTAAACAAAACAAAACAGGAGCAGTGATATTTACCCAATATTTACTCAGAAAAGTGCAGTTAATTTTTTTCTGCAGATTTTCATCCTTTTTAAATTTTTGTATCAAACTGATAAATTCCCAAAAAAACATTAAACTAAATAAAAACTGAAAGGAAAGAGCCTCAATAAGCTGTAAGGGATTAAAGGCCTAGTCCAAGCCTCGTTAGTCAGTGGGAGAATTACAGTTGTGTTCAATAGGCTTTGGAGTAGACATTAACTACTTCCCTATCTCCTTTCTTAAATTCTCTTCAGGGGACAAGTTCTGTTGAACTATATCTCCTAATATCTCATTCTGAATTGAGACTAAGCCTCAATTACGGAGTACTTGCAAGACAACTGCCATTTAATGGTGCTTTAAGGTTAGAAAACTCAGGATAAATTACATTCTGCAGGGTAAGTTCTGCTTGGTCATTATATCCACAAAAGGATTTGTTTGATTTCCTGTCCTTCCCCCCACATGCACACGCCAGTTTCCTAAACATGAGATCAAAGAGGGCCCTAGTTTACTGTGGTCCCCAGACTTACCCAAACCAATGCACAGGTACGTCTGGCTACTTTGGCTCTCCTGTCCCAATAATAAACACCACAGCAAGTGGAAGTGAATCACAAAATTCTTTATGACAGGTTTCAGAGTAGCAGCTGTGTTAGTCTGTATCCACAAAAAGAAAAGGAGGACTTGTGGCACCTTAGAACTGTAGCTCATGAAAGCTTATGTTCAAATAAATTTGTTAGTCTCTAAGGTGCCAAAAATTCTTTATGTAACTCACCTCTGGACATCATTTTATCTACATTCATTTATCTATTGCACTCTTCAATGTTATTCACACTTCAGTTTTACATGAAAATGCTCAAAACACAAAATTAACAACTGAACTGTTGAATCCCTAATTGCTCAGTCTTATCCTGAACAGAGGATAACTATCCAGTCAAGTCAGAACAGGGCGATACTGGCATCTTTTAATAGGTCCACGTATGCTCTTTTGTGATTACCTGAATTACTGAAGCATGAACTCTTAAAAAATTCCATCTTCCACTTTAGCTGTCATTCCTAGGGGGTGTGAGGGTCTAAATTAATTTCATATTCTTTTGTAATGGACTGCATGCTTCAACCTGTAATGCCTCTGACTATACTTTGTCTTTTTCCATTTTGGAGAAAAACTTTCTATATATCCTTTCTACATATACTGGCAGAGAGTTCATGTTAATTCACCACTTAACAAGTATCATTTATTTTACTTTAAGATAAGCAGAACTAAAAGTGTTGTTCCAGATGTAGAGCTAATAATTTGAGCCTTGTGGCTATATAATACTTGTATTTCATGGGACCAAGGAAGCATTAGAGGACTTGAAGATTACTTGTTGAAATTGCTTATTTTGCAAAAAATATAAACACATATCCAAAAGCATTAAATATGTGCTTCACGTGTCCTCAGCTCACATGGCTCCCAAAACATTCAGGCTCCAATGTAGCCATACAACTATGTAATGATTACTTTACGAGATTTAGAAAGTGAGTGACATGGTGCAGGTCTGTTTACTTTGTTGATTTAAGTTTAATGCAAATGACTTTTTAGTGGTGTCACTTTAAGATGATGAGCAAATAGGATGCCTAGTAGTAACAAAGAGATGGAAAGTTGTTGATGTTTTCTGTAACAGAACAATTATAGCAGGTCTATTTCCAATTCCTCCTGGTCATCCAGTTTAAAAAGGTCATTTTGTCATGTCTGTTTGATGCTGTTAGAATTGTTCTCTGTTGTGCTTTCTACACTTCCACTACACCTGGCTGACGAATTGAGAAACTATTTCACAAACGGTCACATTCCATAAGTAATGCATTTTACTTCACTATATCCATTTCCCTGGTCAGGGTTTTTTGTTCTTTTATTTCAAATGCATGATTTGTTTCTGCTTCCTGTAGGGGCTGTGGTGTAAAATGCACACACACCTTCTTCAGTGAAGAAACAATGCCACCTCTGTCAAACTGGCATGACCTCAGAGGTCATTTCTTCAGCTGCTTGCTGTGAGTTTGTACCTGTCTGGGATACTGGCACTACTGCAGCATCCTTGATTTCAGCGCTCTGAATGCAGGAAGGGTTCTTCTCCATTTTTTTGGCAGTGTCCGGGCAGTTTTGAACAAAGATCACTCGATTGTAAGCCTTCAGTCTGCGCCACAACTGAACGTAGACTTTGCACTGGACGTACATGAAGACTAGGCCTCCAGTGAACCCAATTGCTACCACAACCAGTTTTGTCCAAAATGGCCATTCAAGGACACCTTTCAAAGAAACAAGTTACAATTAGTTTCATCATCATTTCATAATGTCTTGCTGATGGCTTGTCTCTTCTGTCGCCTGTATATTCCAGTATTACATAAAACTGCCAAAACATTATTCTTTTCAAAGGATCCCTAATGCTATTTGTACTGTATGTACACAGTCACACACATGAAGTGCAGCTGTTGTTATGGTAGAAGACAGCAGCTGTTCCCTAGATCATAGAAACAAGATCAGATCCCTAAACATCTAGTACAATAGGGGATTTCTGGTTTAACAAGGAATGCAGGATCAGGTCTTAGGACAGAAAGATAACTGTCCTTACTAGAAACAGATGACATTTTTATGTCCCTTGATTGTACCCATGCCTATAGTACCTCTTTTAAGTAGGCAGAATGTAGTTATCTAGACTGGAATGGCCAGATCACTGGGCTTTGGGCCCTACTACTGAAATAAATAAATAAATAAAAGCTTTTTAAAGTTTGATGGCTGGTCTATAAGGAGACTCAAGCTAGAGTATGTACAGTATACTGGTCTGCTACACAGTAAGGTGCTGCATGGACCCTGCTACCATGCACAAAGTTTCATAATGAGCAGTAGCAAGGTCCACATGGCTACTTGGTGCACTGTAGTTTACACCCTAGTTTGCTGCATGCTATGGGTCTGTAAATATACCTGGCACACCCTATTTTATACCTCATTGAACAGTGGCACCTACAATACCAATGTGTTCCCCTGGTATGGGGCTGTAGCATTGGTTCAGTAGCAAATTAGTGGGAAGAAATCCACCTTGTGAATAAAACTGCACCGCAGCTTTTTTTTGTTCTTTATGCCTCTCTCGTGTATGCTTTTTCCTTCTGCTAAATCAACACATTGCTATTTTCCTACTTAGTTATATAAGAACTTTACAGTTCCTGATACTGTTTTTGCTCATTGCACCCTTTGCTCTCAGTTTAAAAACCAGGAAAAATTCTTGCAAGGTCTTACTGTAACTGTAGAAAAAAGTCTCCATGGGTGATGACACTAAGGGTACAGAACAGAGAATCTGAACGCCGTAATGATATGAGTAATGCTAAGATGATTCACTTTAGCCTAGAACTAGTCTTAGAACTTTACAAAATCAATTATTGCTATACTGGGAACAGCTTTATAATCACAGGATAATTAACAACACTGCAGCTGCTTCTTCATATGTTTAGCAGTATGACTAAAATGGGGGAAAAACCCGCTGTGCATTACTGCATCAGATCTAATGATGACAGTGTTGGCATTAATACATAATATGCAAGTGTGTGGTTTTGAGATTGCGTGTCAATGCTGCTTTCTCGATATTTTACTTAAAATAAATTTATTAGTCACATATGGAAGATCTTTAAAAATCCTTAGAACATATAGAGTGCAAATCACAATCGAGGTGCTTTAGAAACAGGATAATTAAACTTCAAAGCAATGCGTGGGAGGCATTAGAGAGAGGCACTCCAAGATGGATATGGTGTCAGCTGGAGGATTAGAATCCACGGGTGGTCATCTGCCAGGTTTAGCTGCAACCAGTCGAGCAGTAATTTGAGTTTAATTGTGTTGTTAAACAATAATAGAATACCATTTATTTAAATATTTTGGGTATTTTCTACATTTTCAAATATATTGATTTCAATTACAACACAGAATACAGTGTACCAGTACTTACTTTATATTTAATTATAAATATTTGCACTGTAAAAAACAAAAGAAATAGTATTTTTTCAAAAAGAAAAGGAGTACTTGTGGCACCTTAGAGACTAACCAATTTATTTGAGCATGAGCTTTCGTGAGCTACAGCTCACTTCATCGGATGCATCAGCCAATCGCTCAGACAAACAAATTTGGTTACAATTTGGAGGAGATAATGCTGCCTGCTTCTTGTTTACAATGTCACCTGAAAGTGAGAACAGATGTTCTCATGGCACTGTTGTAGCCGGTGTTGCAAGATATTTACGTGCCAGATGCACTAAAGATGCATATGTCCATTCATGCTTCAACCACCATTCCAGAGGACACCTTCCATGCTGATGACGTCTTCTGCTCAATAACCATCAAAAGCAGTACAGACCGACACCTGTTCATTTTCATCATCTGAGTCAGATACCACCAGCAGAAGGTTGATTTTCTTTTTTGGTGGTTTGGATTCTGTAGTTTCCGCATATGAGTGTTGCTCTTTTAAGACTTCCGAAAGCATGCTCCACACCTCGTCCCTCTTAGATTTTGGAAGGCACTTCAGATTCTTAAACCTTGGGTCGAGTGCTGTAGCTATTTTTAGATATCTCACATTGGTACCTTCTTTGCCAAATTGCAATGCCACAGTGCCCAGCGAATGCCTCTTCTCACTTTCAGGTGACATTGTAAATAAGAAGCAGGCAGCAGTATCTCCCGTAAATGTAAACAAACTTGTTCAGCCAATCACTAAGACAAACAAGAAGTAGGACTGAGTGGACTTGTAGGCTCTAAAGTTTTACACTGAGTGCACTTATGTAACAAAAAAAATCCCAAACCTACATTTGTAAGTTATACTTCCACGCTAAAGAGATTTCACTACAGTACTTGAATGAGGTGAATTGAAAAATACTATTTCTTTTGTTTATCATTTTTACAGTGCAAATATTTGTAATAAAAATAATATAAAGTGAGCACTATACACTCTGTATTCTGTGTTGTAATAAAAATAGTTGAAAATGTAGAAAACCATCCAAAATATTTTAAACACAAGAAAAGGAGTACTTGTGGCACCTTAGAGATGAACAAATTTATTTGAGCATAAGCTTTCGTGAGCTACAGCTCACTTCATCGGATGCATTCAGTGGAAAATACAGTGGGGAGATTTATATACATAGAGAACATGAAACAATGGGTGTTACCATACACATTGTAATGAGAGTGATCACTTAAGGTGAGCTATTACCAGCAGGGGGTGGCAAGAGAGGGGAACCTTTTGTAGTGATAATCAAGGTGGGCCATTTCCAGCAGTTGACAAGAACCTCTGAGGAACAGTGGGGGTCGGGGGGGGGCAGAATAAACAAGGGGAAATAGTTTTACTTTGTGTAATGACCCATCCACTCCCAGTCTCTATTCAAGCCTAAGTTAATTGTATCCAGTCTACTCTGAAACCTGTCAAAATATTTAATACATTTCAATTGGTATTCTATTGTTTAACAGTGCGATTAATTTTTGAGTTAATTGCATGAGTTAACTGCAATTAATCAACAGCCCTAGTTTAACCATCTGTTTTTGCTGCTTATGCAACTGGCTTGCCTTAGAAAAGTCTTTGTAAGTGAGAAATCATTGAAATAATCACTACAGAATGGTGTTTAATTACCACAGATTTCCCTGTCATGGAAACTGCTAGTAAGTGCTAACTTTTTCAGGGTGGCACTTTTGAAAGTCAAAGTGACTTTAGCACATGTTCCAGTGAAAGTCAGTTGGACTCCTACTCTTAAGTGACAGGGATGGTCTCCTTATTAAGGAAATGACAGCTACTCCACACACTGACTTAGGAGCTTCTGAAAATCCTACCTACCAGTGATCACTATTGAGATGTGGTGTTAGTTTTGAAAAATTACACACCAGGCAATAGCCTCAGCTGCAGTAAATCACTGTAACTCTGCTGAAGGCAGTGGAGCTATGCTGATTTATACGAGCTAGTTTGATTAGATATTTCTGTCATCTCACCAGACCCTGGAGTAAGTACGCCAAGAAGAAATAGGGAAAAATACTTTTAATGATTTCCCCCATCTTCCCACTTTATTGGGCTAGCGTGTAACTTTTTGGGTAGTAAATCAGAGTTCTGAATTTCAATATGAAAAAGAGTGGGCCTGCTGTTGCATCACTGTAGGGGATGGGAGCTTTGCAGTTGTCTGTAGTAATCAAATAAATGCTACTATGTGTGGATCAAATTCTGTTTTTGAATGTGCTAATCTATTTCCTCATTGACTTCACTGAGCGCCAAGGGGTGTATCCATAGCCAGGATTTGCTCCCATGTGTTACTATTTCCTTAATGAATTCTTGTAACTAAAGGCAGCATAGCATTTGCAACTCTACTAAAGTAAAGTAGTATACTATACGCATGTTGGCAATATCTGCTTAGTTCAGTAATCCACTGTAGTCTGTTGTAAAACAAATCAGCCTTGTAAATCCAGTCCTGCATTTAAATGCCCTCTAGCACAACGAGGCCACAATCCTGACTGGCATACTACTAGTACTGAAATAATAACCAAAACTTTTGTTAAGGTTCTAAATCAGGGGTAGTCAATAGGTGGAGCACGGGCCAAATCTGGACTGCCATATGCTTTTGAACAGACCCCCAAATCTTTTTATTTACTTATTATTTTCTCTGGATCCTGGAGATTGACTATACCTTGATGAAGAAATGTGGACCTTAACAAAAATAGACTACCCCTGTTCTAAACTGTTCCAGTAACTCCTCCCTCACTTTTCCCAGTCTTTGCTTGCCTGGATTCCCACTAGAACTGAAAGTGCTGAAATATCACAATAAAGGCTGCTGTTAGAGGATGAAATCCAGCTGTGTGTAGAGAATGCAGGAAAGGACCTCTGTGACATTTAATTCCCACATTAAGGGCTGCACAGGACTTTCTACACTAGGGTGAATTTCATGCAGCGTTTCCTGCTGGGTCTGGAAGTTTTAACTTGCTTGAAATCTTCTAAGAAAGCCTTTTGCAAGATTTCTACCCCAGTTTTGTAGAAGAGAGGTTTCAATAGGTCAGATGGGCAGCTTAAATCTTTTGGATGCTCTGAACTGAACTTGCACTGAACTTTTTAAGTTTCACTCATCAATTTTTAAATAGTAGCTTTAAAAAAGTCCAGCTATTGAAGTAAAATGAAAAGAATGAACTGAATGGTTTAGTTGTTGTGATGGGTGCATTGAACTGTGATCTCTTTGCACTGCAGGAAAGAAAATATATTCAGCAAAAAACAGGTTTGTGAACTGAATTGTGTGTCCTTTGCTTTGTCATCAAACAAATTCCCTATAATCCTGTTATATATTTACAAATAAAAAGTGCCTTGCAATCTATCTGTATTTCTAATGTTTCCCTCGCCATGTTAGCAATGAAGGAGATAAAGTCACTTACCATTGTCATTGCCTTGCTTAATTTCCTCAGCAGTTCGATCTATTAAAACATACAATGACCAAACAACGCAGGTAATAGCAATAATATGGAATGTAACTGAACAGACTATCTTCCTCCTTTCACTTGTTGTCATCTGTAGTTTCTCCCACTGTAATCGGAAAAGAATTAGAAATTAAGTGGGCTTGTAAAGAAAGCCTCCTTGTCATTCTAGTTGTTCCTGTTTGAAACGAGAAGAAAGACAGGTTAATTACAAAATATTTTTCTTATAACTTATGTCCCTAAGATAGCATTGTAAGCTTCACAAACTTACCTGATGCGTTATATACAAATCTACATCAATTCATAAGAACGTAGGATCCTGTGGAAGGAGTCTCACCTCTGATCTCTTACCGCCTTCCTATGAGTTACACCTAATCCTGTGTCTCTGCAGCAATGGCAGATTAACAGTGAGAGGGAAGTCAAAAAGCAAATATTAGGTTTAACTGCAGCAAGCACCCCAAATCTAGAGCTATGAAGAAAAATTCACATCTTCCAGAACTCCAAATGTGCTTGGTTGCTTAAAAACCTGTCACTTAATCCTGGGTAAGACTCTGGATAGATTTCATACAACAGGCCAAAGTCTCTCTTCAGTTGCACCCATGCAACTCAGCTGACTTCAAACTCTGACTTTTCCTTTTGTTAATACTGTATAAATTTTTTGTTTTTTGCCACAGTTCCTTCTCTCAATCATAACAAATTCTACTAAAAAAAACCCACCCTACCCTTTTGTCTAAAAAACATGTATTTAAAAACAGATTGCCTCTAACTTTGATGAATACTTTTGAAATCCACAGACACCACCCTCATGAATATTAGTAAAGTAGGTGGAAAACATAGTACAACAGTGCCACCTTTCGGATGGTCATATTACTACATGACTGAACTGTAGAGATAATGAGACTTTTCTAGTTGTAGCTCTTTCACATAAAGTATCTAAGCAATGGCACTAACCAGAGGGTAAGTTCAACTGCACAAATTGGGAGGCACGGGGTAGAACTGAAGTGAAAAATAAATATAGAGTAAGATGAGCAGGAAAGGAAATTTAAAGACTCAGAATTTTTCTCTGACAGACATACACGCTCTCTCTCTCCAGCTCATGCAAGAAGGCAATTGCTATACCAGTAATAGTTCCTATTTAAACCCATGTCGGGACTGGCACACAAATGGTCATGTTGGTGTCCTTTGCAGGATAGTAATTCCTATATGATGCTACAACTTCAGAAAATGTGCCAAAAGCACCACTTTCCAAGTGAAGCAATTCTGAATGTGGAAACAGTTATGGTTCTGGGGACGGTGCTCTATATAGGTACAGTGTAAGGCCAGACCTTTGGGGCTGAAGCTTAGGGTGTTAGTGGGTAGGTCAAAGGATGATACAAAAGCGTTCCTCACTCTTAAGGCTTCATACCACAGTTTTACAAGTCAGTGATCTCAGCGGGTTGATGTAACAAAACAACTAAAAACAAATAAAAGCAGAATACTCCCGAGACAAGGAGGTGGAGGAAAAGTCAGGATAGTGTGAGATACAGGCAAGAGAAGGAACCCAGACTCTTGCATCACAGAAGAAAACTAAATAGCCATGGCTTATATTGGTTAAAAATAACAGGTGTTAAAACCACTAGAGCCAACCTTCAAGAATCGATTTAACACAGAAAATAGTTTCTTTTCCCTATTTTCTGTCTGCATTAGGTTTCCTAAGTTATTAGTTCTAGAGAGTTATTTAAACTAAATCTAGGCTAATAGTGTCTGTTGTTAACAGCCATCAAGTTCAAAGGCATTGAGTGTCCTCTCCCCCATTAACCTGATTCCATGCTAACTGAAGTAGCTGATAACCACTACTACATAATCCCATATCAGATATCTAGTTCAACTACAGCTGGCTGAAGAAAACACGTGAACAGTTTTGCCAATATATAACTTTATTTTTAGTCAAAAAAACCCCACCACCCTACCAAAACAAGACACTCCACTGCACATGCTTCTCCCTGTGGGGAGAGGGTGAGAGAATAAACAAGTGACAGATGTGTAGGCATGTTGCTTCATGCACTACTGGCAAGCACTCAGATACTACTGTGATGAGCAAGGTATGAAAACCTGTATGGAATAGAACTTTTAATAGTGAAGAAAACTCCACAGATTTCATTTAATTTATTGCTAGCATCTAGTAGCCTCCACCAGGTCATGGCCCCATTGTGTTAGGCACTGTGTAAAAACAATAAATGATCATCCCTGTCCCAAAGAGCTTACAATATAACACTTACAAACAAACAGAACTTCCTTTAACACTGGGCTTTCATTGATAACACTTAGGAGAAACAAACACTCCAATTAGTCTTTTCTCAAAGTTATACTGGGTATGTAATGTTGTTGATGCCTGAAGCACAAAAGACTTTTGAATCTAACTAGGGAGGCATAAGGGGACAGGAAGAGGGCGAGCAGTGAGACCTTGGGGAAGGGAATGAGGAAGCAGTCAGCCGAAGAGACTAAAAGGGATAAAAGTGAGGGGCTCCCTTCAAAGTCAATCTACAACTAGGAGCAGAATTTGGCCTAAGAGGGGGGTGCTGTACTGAGGCTGGTGGAGAAAAAGAGACAGCAGCAGGAAGCAGGATAGGCCAGAGAAACAGCAAGAGAAGTCTAAGGGGGGGGGGGGAGGGAGGGGTTGGGAAAGGCATATTATGTAAAACAAACAAATAAAAATAATAATTGCACCCCTGAGTGTCAATATGGGTGGTGATGGTATGTGCTCCAGTTTCACTCTTGGAGAGATGTTTATACTGTGATTTCACAGTGCTGTATAAGAAGACAGTAAGCTCTTCAGGGCAGAGATCTAAAAGAGTACAGAGTGAGTGAAGACAAATGGATAACGGAAGAATGTGGGGAAAGAATGAGGGGTACAACAAATAAATATTATGGTTCTAATCCAGTCCTGCCACAACTCCAATAAACTCACTGGGGATGTACTTGTTTATACCAAGGATGCTTTGTGTCTTGTGGAATTTTGTGTTACAAGCTTCATAGGCATCTCTCAATTCTCTCTCTCCTTTTCATTTTGGGCAGAGGGTCAATCGGAGGTGAGTGACAGAAGGCTAACCAATAGAGGAGTGCTATGATGAGGGATTTAGAACTACTCAGGATATTTATCTCCTTGTATTGTTAGACTGATAGGGTACAGCATTTTTCATTTTAACAAATCCACTAGAATATTACATTTTTACTGTGAAAGACAAGATAGGTGTGGTAATAACTTTTCTTGGACCAGCTTCTGCTGGTGAGAGACAAGCTTTCGAGCTACACAGAGCTCTTCTTCAGGTCTGGGAAAGGTACTCAGAATGTCACAGCTAAATACAAGATCAAACAGATAGTTTAGCATAAGTAGTTAGCACACACTGTAAGGGACCATTCATAGGACAAAGTGGTGGTGGTGGTGGGAGGAGGGGTGTTAGTGGGTTATAGAGAGTTGTAATAAGCCATAAATCCAGCGTCTTTATTAAGACCAGTGCTTAATTTGTGCCAGGGCTGAGCCCCAGGCACCTCTGGGCTTGCCACATCAGTTACAACAGTTAAAAAATTGCTCAAGCCCTTGCGCCTCCTTCATTACAAATTAAGCACTGATTAAGACCATGATTTTTAGTGACTAGCTAGGTTATGAATTCAAGCTCCAACACTTGTCTTTTGAAAGTGGTGTGCTGGTTTCCTTCAAGAATGAGGCCTGCTAGCCACTAGAGGGTGCAATAAGACTATACTGAGTTCATAAAGTTCATAACAATGTATTGTGAAGAGCATTCAAAGGCACAAAGAAATGACAGCAAGATTTTGTAACTTTGCACAAAAATAAAATCAACCATTAAAAAGTGTATTGGACTAAATATAGAAGTAGAAACAATGTGCACTGTAGATTTTATGCACACATCCCAAAACCTTTGAAAAAGAAAGAGAACATTTTGTTATTAGCTCATGCCATAGAAAGGTTGTAATAATCTTAGTTAACAGTCCACATAGCTCCTTGTTCAAGCTTTTTGCTTCCTCTGTGTTATAAAGACATGATCTTCCTCTGAAAACTAAAAGCTGTTACTGAAGTTCATAATCATTTTTTTTTGTAATTGCAAACTAAATCATCATGAGTCATCACAGAAATAGGAATCTAAACAGTCTGCCTACACTGAGTGAGGAAAGGGTATCTAAATAAGACTATGATAGCCAATGTAGTTAACAAGTTCCTTATCCCTGCTGGCTAATCTACAGGAATCCATAGTACTTGTGGGGGCTGGCTATAGGTCAAAAGGCAGCAGGATCAAAACTGCCTCTTTTTATGTCTTTTTGAGGTGATACTGGTTAATCAAAATCACTATGCTAGTTTTATTCAAGCAATTGCTCAAAGACAGGTTTTCTGAAGTATCTAGGGATGCAGTCCCATTTTCTAGAGCAGAGGTGGGCAAACTATGGCCCACAGGCCGCATCTGGCCCGTGGACCATTCTGCCAGGCCCCTGAGCTCCTGGCCCGGGAAGCTAGCTCCCGGCCCCTCCCCTGCTGTTCCCCCCTCAGCCGACTGCGCTGCCGGCGCAATGCTCTGGGCGACAAGCTCCTGGGGCAGTGCAGCTGCGAGCCCGGCCTGACCCGGTGCACTGAGCTGCGTGGCATGGCTGCCTGTCCTTGTGCAGCCATGCTGCCAGTCAACGGTGCTCCAGACAGCACGGTAAGGGAGCGGAGGGTGGGGGGTGTTGAATAGAGGGCAGGGGAGTTCGGGGGGTGGTCAGGGGCTGGGGGTGTGCATAGGGGTTGGGGCGGTCAGAGGGCAGGGAACAGGGGGCTTGAATGGGAGCAGGGGTCCCGGGGGGGCAGTCAGGAAGGAGAGTGGGGTTGGATAGGGTGGCGGGGGGCAGTTAGGGGCGGTGGGGCCGAGAGCGGTCAGGGAGAAGGGGTGGGTGGATGGGGCAGGGGTTGCCGGGGCGCTGTCAGGGGGCGAGAAGCAGGGGGGTTCAGATAGGGGGCAGGGGCCAGACCATGCCTGGCTGTTTGGGGAGGCACAGCCTCCCCTAACTGGCCCTCCATGCAATTTCAGAAACCCAATGCGGCCCTCAGGCCAAAAAGTTTGCCCTCCCCTGTTCTAGAGA